TTCTGAATCACCCGACAAAATAATATTGTGCTCTGGTGCCAGGAAATAATTTTATGCTGGATGCTGAGAATGCCCAGTTAATAAAGATGATCAGCCACTTGCTAAGAGGAAATAATTGTCAGTATCTATATTTTTCAAAGCAGGAACACATCAACATCTTACACTAAATAGGGCACATTAAAATAAGCCTTAATAATCTTTATGCAGAAGGAAACTAATCCATTTCCAGATCAGACGATCCACAGCAATAAAAGGAAATCATCAAACTAAAAACAATTTTAGAAATGGCTGCAGACTCTCATTTAATTAACATGCAACAGATAATATATTTATGAGGAAGTCAAAATATTTAGGAAGCCTATAATCCTGTAAGCCTTAATGTGGTATAAAAAAAAAAACAAATAAATGCAAAGTGTTACTGTTACACATGCCTGCCTGATCAATGGTTTTCACATATCGATCTATAAATGGAGTTGACAGTCTGTGTTGGCTGCACATTTTCCAAGCAGCTCTATTTTTGTACAAAACCAATACGGGCAATTACCTTTGTTGGAGATGCCAAGTCTTATCAATTCAATGTGATTTAGTGTCATTTTAATTAAATATCAGGATCCACTTCAGGACAATTTATACAAACAAAGCCTCATACTTGGCTATAAGCTTGATTTGAAGTAAACACGGACAAGCTCAGCAATCTCATAATATTTCTCCAAAACTCTACTAAACAGAAGGCTTATATTTTTAGCAATTTTTATGTCTGCCTTTTTGGCTAGCCACAACTTTGGCAAGTATTCTATGATCACAGGAATAAGGAACAAAAGAAAAGTGTTTCCTGTCTTCCCAATAACATATTTTTAAAAAAAGAAGAAATAAAACAACACAGGCTGTTTGGTAGCAGAAAAGAGGGCTCTGATATGTTAACATTTTTTAATGATGAGACCCCTAAGTCTCAATAAGAATACCAATAAAGAGATATGGAATTATTTGCATCAGTTATGAATGAAGTGATGAACTTTAGTTTGATTTAAGAGACGAAAATAGTGAATATTCATACAGCTTTGTGGAGGAGATACCAGCATTAGATGTAGAAACTGCTCTTGCTTGCTAAAGCCAGTGTTTGCAGTTTCATGATTTCCTCTATTTAAACTCTTCATTAATATCTATTCTAAACTGCCTAGTATGCTAGCACATTCCTATTATAAATAAGACCAACTAGAAAGCATGAGAAACCGCATTAAGCCTTTCAAATGAGCTAGTTGCTGTATTGCATATTAGCATTTTTAGCCTTTAAAGGGGCACAATTCACTTGCCTCTACATTTATACAAGCTGAATATTTTGCCTATCTTGTCACACTATGGAATAGAAGAATCAGTCCACCTTGAGACAGATAAATTCTGGGTGCTGTGGAAGTGATTACTGATTACTTAGACCAGTGAGCTCTTCCCTGTCGATACAGGTTACCAGATCGCTTCCACTGATATGCTCTGGCGCTCCACACCATTTCCCAGGTAGTAGTGATCAGACTGCTATTTTAATTTTACAAAGGCTTTACTCTATTGATCAAGTGAAAAATGATTACTTGGTATCTAAAGGAAACAGGAGACATATTTAATATATTTCTAAAAGATTAGCAATACAATAATAACAGGGACATTGATAACTGATTTCCTCCATCTAAATTGCCTCCAGGAAGTTAAGGAGAGAAAAATAGAATAAGCTTAATAGATGCACATACGCATGCACACATTTTAGGTGCAAATTAATATGGCTACTATACCCTCTAATATATTTACCTACTTGAATCTATGGATCAGGACACAGAATATATACTGATATGACAATGATACGTTATGCTCTAAATTGTGTTCCAAATCCCAAAGTAAGTCACTAAGTGCTTTTCTTATTAATCAATATATATATATATATATATATATATATATATATATATATAATTTCAGTAAACACATAAAATATGAAAATATGCAAGTCTCATACTGGGCAGAAAAGGCTAGGTTTTAATCTCTAAAATTGTAGGAAACACCCATACTGATGAGATCATAGTTTATTTGAATATTTAAGTATCTTTCACTTTTTTGAAGTGATTATCAACATTATTATCAACAAATACATGATGAATATACATTTATATAGCACTTTAAATTTTGCAAAGTGTTTCACATATCGTAACTCATTCGATCCTCATCACAATCTTGTAAGGTAGGTATTGTTATTATCCCTGTTTTAGAGATGAGGAAATTGTAGTCTACAGACAGTAACTATCTTGTCTATTAGTAAGTGCCAAAGAGGGGGATGCAAATTCAGGTCTTCCTCACTCCAAGTCCCTGTACTCTATTCATCACTCCACTTAGATGCCTCATAAAGCTTCACCTAATGACGACTGTCAGCAAGATGTTATCAAAGTATTTCAAAGTTCATTCTGGATGAGATTAAATCTATCACTGCCTGGTTCAAACAAAAGTTTCAGTTCACTTTGTACAGAAATCATGTTTTAATTGAGTACCTACATGCATTCATTATGAGATCTGCCACTTACTACTTGTGCTCATTGGGCAAGTGAATTAACCTTTTTGGACCTCAGTTTCCTCATCTATAAATAAATGTTGTTGCATTTGATGACCTTTAAAGTTCCTTTTAGCTCTGACTCTACTATCCAATGATCTCCTTGCCTTTATCTTCTACCTCTGCCACCAATACCACCACTGCCATCATCATCATCATCATCATCATCATCATCACCACCACCACCACCACCACTACTACCACTACCCTCTGCCCCAATTGGGCTCTTAGTTTGGCTTGAGCAGATAACTTTAACAGGCTTGTTTGAATAAATATGCCAAAATACTTTTCATTCTGTCAATATCTAGTCAGAAAATTGTGCATGGCAAAAAGAGATGAAAAGAACTGAGACAGAAAGGAAATTAGTGCCATGGCAAGCTTTCAATATCTCACATCTGAGCCAAGTTTTCTTGGTGAAATGACATATCCTAGCGAAAATACCCCTTTTATGTGATTATGCACTGAGTAGACATAATCCAAAGTAACTTTTTTCATTCCTTACCCAGAAATATACATGGTCCACACTAAGAATTCAGAAATGGAAGCTAGGATAATTACATCTCATTTAACTTCACCAAACTCTTACTCTCTAACAGTCAAGCATACAACCCCCTAAACTAAAGTTATGTAACAAGGTAATATCAACAATGAGAAACTGCATGATAAAATCCTGCCCAAAAGTGAAAAATGCTAATTTTGTCTCATTTAGCAGCTGGATACAGAAATGCTCATTAGTTTTAAGAGGGTTAATCCTTTTAACTTTTGCATATTGATATGCCAATTATGCCTAATTGTACAAGAGGCATCAGTCAAGGTAATAGTGCATAAACACATGAAAGTTATTAAGTACATCCCAACATGTAATAAAGTAGGTGTTAATTGGTAGCTGAGTTCTGCAGGCTATTGAGGTGGATAATTCATTGAGAGATGGATCACTTGTAATTTCTCTACATAATTCCTTCTGCAGTCTCATGCTGTGATGTTTTCATGCTTGTCAAAAACAACTGCAGCCTAGTGCCTTTTGTTAAACACAGCCAATAAAATATGTTAGGCATCATTAAATATACTTAACTTTTAAACTTTTTCAAAGGTACAGTTCTTACTGATAATACATTATAGCATTTGCAATAATTTACTGTAAACACTGTCTGGAGTTCAGGGCTGAGGAACATTGTAGTTGGTGGAAAAGCTAAGTCAGTTTCACCATGCAATTCCAGCCGATGATGATACTTTCAAATGAGAAAGTAAATAAAGGGAAATGAATCTCTCATTAGTTACCTTGATCTAAAGAGATATTTCTCACTACAGAAATATAATCATTGCCTTCCCAATGCCAAATTTGTCTAAGTCGGCTGAAGAAAGGATGATTAAAATCATATATTTCTCCAGTTCCTGAGAAGAAATAGCTGTGGGTTAATTTTGCAATTGAACTTGGAATGAAAAATGCAGAATAAATACAATTGGTAACAGGCTACCCAGCAAGTTTATTCCATTTAATAACTCAGTTAGGGATCTGAATATTTCATGGGCACCTACTATATTAACAGAACACCCAATTAATAGCCCACATGGTTCAGAAGGGTGACTGGGATTCAGAGCCTGTCCCTAGCTAACCCATTTCTTGCTCTTGATCTTGCTGTGAGAACAAAATAGATATGGAATCCAAAAGAGTGGCTAACATTGCATCAATAATTTTGTAACGTCATATGGCCTCAGCTGCAAGTTACCACCATTATGGAAGAAAATTAACCAGAGGAGACTCATAGCAATCAGTTCGTTTAGTAGCTCAGGATGAGTGCAGGGGCAGGGACACAATTGGCAATAGAGTTCATCTCCAACTATTGTATTTCAAATCTTTCTGATAAAAAGAATCTCGACAAAGCAACTAACCTGCCATACCTTAAGTAGCCTTGCTCCCTTGGTCCTTTACACCATCATCATATCCCAATGTCCAATAATTTTTACCTCATACTATTTGACAATTTTGAGAAAGGGACTCTCTTTGGGGGAAGATTTTTTAATTTTCAGTTTGTTCTTAGCTAATTTTAGCCCCTGGCTTTGGGAAGTGATGTACTGTATTTGGAAGTACAAACACCACATGCTAGCATAGCCTCATTATTTTTATGACACTGAAGCATGATAGTGGAGGCCCTTAAAACAAGTCAAAGGTGCTCTTCAGTCTACCACCAAATCCATTTTATAACTCTGGATTAAGCCCAGCTCTTCCTCTCACACTAGGGTGGGGAATGGGGGGGGGAGGGAAGGAGGTTATTATGACTATAAGTAGGAAAGATAAAACACATTACAGAAGCAGTTTTCTTATGCACGTTACAAGAACAGATACGGCAAGAGTAATTAGCTTTAAAATTTTTCAGCAGTAAAAATCTTTATGGTAGTAAACTCAGGGTATTCTACTTACAGGTTCAGTGACCTTCCCAATATCGGTAAGGATCATGGATTTACTTTGGCTCAGTCTGTCATGGTGGCTGTTGGCATTTTTGATCCTCATTTGTACAGCTCCTGTGCTTTGGTGGGAAGAATTCAGCTTTTCTGCAGAGGTATCAGAATTGGCAGAACTCTGCATGTTAGAATGCTATCCTGAAAAATTGAAAAAATTTTTTTATTAAGTATATATATTCTCTTAGCAGAACATAACATTGCCTGTTAATCATTAGGATAAAAAGATTTAACAAATGTAAAAGACAGCTTCTGAGTACTAAAGACCACAGTAATTACTTTGTAGTTATTCTTATCAATTAAGGAGCTTCTAACATGTGAAAAAATTACACAAGCTTAAAGCACTTTAAAAGGAGACAGATATTATTATTACTTAAATAAAACAAGCACACAGGACAGTGTCCTCCCCAAACCACGACATCAACAAGGAAATGCACAGAGGACAGACTGCTTTGTGGAGACTAAAATGCCAACTACATCACCTTCTAGGCATACGTTGTTGGTGGCAGGGGAAGTGTCTGTATTTTTGGTGATGTGTGTTGGTATTGTTTTGTTTTGTTTTCTAGAAAAACACTGAAAGATTCACACACTTTTGCTTAGCCCATTATATGCCCTAAACAAGCATACAAGCATAAGATGGTCATCAGAGTTTAGGCAAAAGTCTTTGGTCATGGAAAAACGCAAAGCTAACTGGTTCACATGAGTATCAAACTCATGACCTTGGCCTCATCATCACGCTTTTTTATCCACCCACGAAAAAGAAATGTAGCAGTGGAGAAGATTAAATTGTTATTCCCTGACCAGTTAGCATCTGCCAATATCACTGACTTTGCTGGACATAGGCCTAATGTAAAATTTGGAGAAAAGAGAGATGGTTATTTTTTTATGAACCTAGATATAAAAGATCAGTTTGGAAGAATTTAATGGTGCAAGAAAAACAATACAGAAAATGGCAAAAGAGACGAATCATGATTATATGTTCCCAGTGGGATGAACCAAGCTATAGACATAAATTGGATGCTCAGGGGAGAGCAACATAAATGTTGCAGGAAGAAAGAAAGTTTATATTTTGTCCAGTGACACTGTCTAAGCAAGCTTTAAGGGTATAAAAAAAATTAATAAATAAACCAGCAGTCAAGACAATAGAACACAGAAAGGGATTTCTCCTTTTCACCTCCCCTCCCTAACCATGAGACAATTTTAAATAAGAATTAAGCAAAAAGCTAAGGTGTTATCATGGCCTCGGCATGGGTATCAGGCCCTATCCTTCGAATCTTTGCCCTCAGTTCTTCAAGTTATTCCCATGCAATAGCTGATAGATTCTGCAGAGAGAAGTAAGAAGAAAAGGAACTAAAGGGAAAAAAAATAGAAGCCAAGTATGATGATTTCTTTTCATTTTCTGGGAATGTTCATCTCCTTCCAAGATAGTAGAAAGCACTAGTGGCCCAACTCCATTAAAAATCATCCCATCTTTACTGCTTCAAGACTTTTATTCGTTAGTTACCTTCCTATGATTGGAAAAGGAATTGGGAGCCCCTAAAGATATGAATTATGCTCAATGGACTCAATTATTTGATCTCCAGCCCCACCAGCTTTTAAGTGAATGGACTGGTTTTAGACACAGAGTTCTTAAGAACAGGCTAAACCCAATCATACCACCAATATTTGAAGCTTTACTAACAGGACAATCTCATGGGAAAGTGTGACATTTATGATGAAGGCAAAGTTTGAGAAATATTTTAAGAATAATCAGTTCATAACTGTAACCAGCACAAAATAAGAAATAAAGGAAGCAGATAAAGATGAAGTTAAGATTGTTAATAAAAGTAAAATGAATAAAAAGAAAAGCATGGTTCAGTAGACAGTATATTGGTCTCAAAGTCAAGAAAATGAGTTCATTTCCAGCCTCTGACACATGCTGGTTATGTGGCCTGGACAGGCCAGTTCGTCTCTCAGGGCTGTAGGCATTTCTCTAAGACTACTCTAAGACTGCCAACTGCAGAGACAGTGTCCACCTCTGTTAGTCAAAGGCATTTCCCGATTGGGGAGTTCCTTGTATCAGTGAAATCACAGGTCCAGTTCTTATCCCTGCCCCTACACAAAAAAAACAGAGGGGTGGATTTAGAGTCAGGAAGATACATACTCTCTCTAGACACTTACTGTGTAACTTCAGGCATGTCATTTAACCTCTCAGCCTCAGTTTTCCTCAACTGAAAAATGGGAATAATACTAACACCTACCTCACAGGATTGTTGTAAGGATCAAATGATACAGTCTCTGTAAATAATTTTGCAAACCTGGAAGTACTATATAAATGGTAGCTATTATGGTTGTATTAGGAAAACAAAAGAAAGTGAAGAATTCTAGGTATCAGTGAAGGTTTGGAAATGTTATATACCAGAAAATTGCAACTGAAGCCACAAATAAGGAGAGTGGACCAATTGAATAATGAAACCAAAGCAAGACTTAAGCAGTCCAAAGATCTCTTTAACTGGCTAACTGTGATTACATGAAGGAATTCTCTGGTAACCGGCAAACATTATTCCTTGTATTACACACATAATTTTCATATATATATGTACACATATACATATATAGTTTGGCAATTTATTATTTATAGTCACTACAGCATGCATAAGATCTTATCCCTTGGTCTAAAGGGACTATATTCTAGACTGCTTTATAACTGATATGAGAAATTGGTCAAAGAAAAAAGTCAAGCTAAATCTAATCATATATAGAAAGATAAATGATCATTTCTTTAATATCCTTTATCTACCAGTGAAGTGCATGCCAGAAAGAAAGCTTTTGTTTGCATATTATGATTTTTTTCTGCTATGTTCTTCATTACAAATCAGTTTCTCTCCATAAATAGCCCAATAATTAATCACCTGAAATGAAAAAAAAAGCAATGAATTTGATGATATTTATGAAGGTACCTGCTACAATAAGAATAAAATTACACCGTAGCATATCTTTGAGAGTGAAGTAATGAATAGTCAGTGAAGAGCCAGGTCACAACTCTAGCCTAGCTTTAAATGGTCTTGGACAACATTAAGAATGACAGATTAGATTCAAGTCTTAAATATTACTTTTTTGGAAAGGTGGGAGGAGAGAAGGGTGGAGGAAGTTCAGCATGTCTGGATTTAGATCCATTAATGCCTTGTAACTATGTATATAAAGCAAATACAATTTTCATAACATGGTAATATTTATAGGTCAGTATGCAATGTATATATATGTGCATGTGTATACATATGCATATGTGTATATATATACACAAATTAAATTTAAATAATGATTATTACATTTGTAGTGATTCTAATAGTGCTGTCATTCAGCAGTGTTGCAGAGGAAAGAACGTGATATTGAGATCCTTTCTCATTCATTGGGCCTTCAAGAATCTCATTCTATCATTAAAAAAAGTTCACTTTATCTTAGCTATCTTCCTTTTGAACTACTTCCATTTCCTGACCTTTAGAAAAACCTGGTTCCCATAGGAGTCACTTTACCCCTAGCTATTCTTTCCTGGCTTCCCAGAAGTCTCACCTAAATTCTCATCTTCTGCAAAAAGACTTCAATATCAATGCCTTGTCTAAGATTTATCTTCAATTAATATGTGTGTGCATATATAGAGATATATCTTGTTAGAACATACTAACTAACATATCATCTCCCCTGTTAGACCCCCCAGCTTCCTGAAAGCTTTTGCCTTTGCCTTCACTCACCCAGTACTTAGCATAATGTCTTGTTCATGGTAGGTGCTTGTTTACTTGACCTGACTATCCCACTTTGTTTCTTGCTCTTCTCCAACTCAGACCCTTCTACTTCAGATAGACAGATCTCGTTCTAGGCCTCTTATACTTTGCTCCTATCATTTCTGCACATAGGCTGCTCACTAGAAGGCCTTCCTCCTCCCATGCATTACTGTGCCAACAGATTTTTTTTCAGATCATATACTATATTCATATTTTCTAAGCCTTGAGTCTTCCCTGACTAATCCACCCCATTCTGATCACTTCCTTCATTTGTATTCTCTCAGCTTTTCACAGTTTGTTTAACTGTGTGTGTGTGTGTGTGTGTGTGTGTGTGTGTGTGTGTTCTTTTATTTTCCTCTCACAGTCTTATGTGTAGAGGATATCTTATTTCCAACTTTACTGTAAGCTCCCAGGGGACAGTAACTGCCTCTTCTTTCTTCTACTCTCCATCATTTTAGTGCTTAACATATTTCTCATTGTACTTTATGTGTATAAAAAGCCCCTGAGCACTGTCTCTTTGGTTGTCCCTGTGAAACATCCCCAGTTTTCTTGACATTTCTTCAGGCGGATAGCTTACCGTGGCAGGTAAACTAGAGGAGAGGAGATGGGAACCTCCTAAGTGGTGTCAGGGAATTAATCTGTCTGGCTGTTCTGTTTAGTGGGAATTTAATATTACAGAAGAAGAAGGCTAGGAGCATAGTGAGACATTTCTGTTCTAGGCAAATTGTCTTGTGGTTTTCTCCTTCACAGAAAAGTGGGAGAATAAGAAGAAATTGACAGTTTTGATTCTTGGAGTTCTCATCTCTGCCTACAGATTCCAAGTACCTGCAGGCTGTCTTTTGGCTTCCCTATGCCCCACAATTTCAGTACCTGATCCAGTCCTGCCCTTCCCAGCAGTGTCTCATGTTGCAGAACTGTCTCCTGATCCAGTCCTCTCTGACATGCAATGGTCAAATGACCTTTGCCACTGTGAATTTCAGTGTGATTAATCACCTTGTTTTCTTAAGCTAGCTAAGTGTCCAATTATATTGGATATAACATAAAATTGTTAACTATCACGTGCCACTATTAGCTACTAACCTTATTCTGTTCAACAAAAGGGATCAGGATCTAGGTAAAGTGTCTTAACCTTTAATAACTTAATTAAAATAATTATTTTCCTTTATAGTCCTATTTTATTTTATGAATTTAAATATTTCAAGAAGGCATCTATAGTCACTCTCTAGAGTACAAAAGGGATCAACAACATAAACAAGGTTAAGAACCCCTGATCTAGGTTACCATGTTCACCCTGGATGTTATGGTGTTTCATCCAGCATAATTGAAGTGCTAGAGAAGTACTAAGTTCTCAGTGGTTCTCAGAGAGTGGAAGGCTTTCTGTCTTCCAACTTCACCTCTCTCTGGCCTGCTGAGCCAACTTGTTGAAGTGGAGATATATTTATTGTGGATTTACCCACAACAAGTTAGACATATGGATTCCCTCTCCATAGAAACAGACAGAGCGTGATCAATTGTATACAGGGCTTTACCCTTAGCATGGGACAGGAAAAGTGAAACAATCCGTAATAGAACATTAACCATTCAGTTTCATATCCAGTACTCTCAGATCCAGGCAATTTCCAGATGGGCTGTTCCGAAACCAAGAGAGCTAAGAAATACACAGCTCAGTTTGCTTAGGCCCCGCAGAACTTCATCCAGCGAACAGGAAAAGAATCATAGATGTTACAACACAATTCACAACGAACAATCAACTCATGCGTTCAAAAGGTCTGAGTTATAGATGAAGACTCAGGAAATGCGGAGATTGAAACATCCCTCAGCACGGGCTCACAATCTGGTGCAAAGTAGAACTC